ATAATATATAATATATAATATAATAAGGGCCCTTCTAGGATCCTGCAAAATTGCAAGCCCGGTTTCGGTGGCCCGAGGCCCGAACCCACTCCGTACTCGCTCTCGCCGTCGGCAATGCAGGCCCACTCATGTTTTTTGGGGGCCTCTTGGGGCAGGTTTTTGGGGGTTAAAAGCCACGCTCCAAGGTTTTTTTGGGGGAAATTCTGAAGAATCACCCTTCACTTAGGGTTGAATGGGCTTTCACATTTCACATGGGTATGTACGTGCACATTTAGGGGCTGTATGGTTGGTTCTTCATGGTTTAAGAGTCTCCAAGCTTTCGGAAAATATAAATAAATAAACAACAACAACAATATATATATATAGATAGATAGATAGATAGATAGATAGATAGGTGTTCATGTGGACTGAAGGTTATTGCGGTGAGTGCAGCAAACTGCATCAGGAACATGTTCGCAACAAGCAGCGGTACAACAAGATGCTGAAGGACTTCCTTGCACATGGGGCTCTCCAGATTCAGATCCCTTTTCAGGGTCCTTGTTTGCCAGAGAGACGAGTTAATTTAGGGAACTACCGAATAGTTCTTCTTCTTGCATATCCGACAAGATGATGATCAGCAGGAGTCAAGGTTGCGACGGAAGGCTCGTCTGCAAGAAGAACAACACCCAACAGAACCGATTGCCTTCGCCTCAGATGGGCGGAGCTTGAACGCCGGAGTCTTCGGGTTGATGTGTTGTCCTGTCCAACATACCGTGCCAAGGACATCTTCTATGAGGACGATGTCAACATGGGGATGATGCCCGGGTCAGGCCTGAAAAGCCGATGCCTCAGCAACGCCTCCCTTGACGATCATGTACACGTAGGGTCCTTTTGGAGGCTGTCCACCATTACATGCACGCGTTGTTGAAGGCATTAAACTTCATCTCGCAGGAATCGCAAGATAATGAGATGGCAAGTCGTAAGTGAATGGTACTTTCTGAGGGCCCGTTACACTCAGCCTTAACCCAACGCCCTTCCTGAGGTCCCCGATACAACGTCGATGACATCCCGGTCGACAGATTACATCTGGAGCGTGCGCTGGACGACGATAGCGCGGCGCGGGGAGTAACTGGTCATCGAAGCTTGGCTCAACTCCCTCGCTCGAACCTGCGGTATCTTTCTATACCTTATACATCCCTAAACACTAGGCCCAAAACCCTAAACCTCAAAAGCCCCACTCCCTTAAATCCCTTAAACCTCCGAAGCCCGAAACGCCAAGGATACATGCACGACGAGAACAAGCTCATCAAGAAGAAGTACAAGGCAGGAGCGGGGAGCAGCTGATTTTCCACCTACCCATGGTTTGGGGTTGAGGGTTGAGGGTTTAGGTCTTAGGGTTGAGGGTTGAGGGTTTAGGGTTTAGGGTTGAGGGTTTAGGGTTGAGGGTTTAGGGTTGCCTAAGTTCCTTCTAAAGCTCCATGAAAACCCCAGAAACCCGGCGAAACCTATGCAAACATGTGTACAATACCTGTAGAGCCCTTGTAGAACCTCTTTTGCAACCCAAAGAAACCGGGTGCCTTGGGTCTCTTAACCCTAAACCCTAAACCCTAAACCCCTAAACCCTAAACCCCTAAACCCCTAAACCCTAAAACCCCTAAACCCTAAAGCCTAAAACCCTAACCCCTAAACCCTAAACCCGAAACCGTTCTTGGGGCGTGTGAGGCCGGGCCGACCACCCAGGCCGAGGTGCGGGAGTGCTCCGCAAGCCGGGATCTCGGAAGGTTTAGGGTTGAGGGTTTGGGGTTTAGAGGGTTTAGGGTTTAGGGTTGAGGGTTTAGGGTTTAGGGTTGAGGGTTTAGGGTTTAGGGTTGAGGGTTTAGGGTTTAGGGATGAGGGTTTAGGGTTTTCAGCGATAAAATTTGGGGGCCTCAGAATATTAGTTTAGCGTTTTTGGGTTGTTGTGGTTGTTAGGATTGGTGTTGGTTTTGTTTTGTACTCATACTTTCGTTCGTCTGTATCCGTACCGACGGTTACTGTAAAGGGTGATATTATAAGGATTTTAGAAGTTGTGGATTCAGTTATCAGTGTTCTGCAAGGGTTTCGAGGGAGTTCTGTACGGTTTTTGATGGTCTTTACCAGGACACTGTGTGTTTGTTGATAATGTTAACCCTAGGCCCTAGGCCTTAAACCCTAAACCCTAATAACGTTGTTTGTTTATGAGGGTTGTTCTGCCGGTTGGATCTCTTCTTTGTGCGGTTCCTTCTGACGTTCAAGAGGCTCTGAGGGTTTGCGGATTTAGTGATGCAGGGTTTAAGTGGTTTAGGGTTTAGGGGTTTAGGTGTTTAGGGCTTAGGGTTTAAGGGTTTTTCGGGTTTAGAGGATGTAGGGTTTAAGTACCTATAAGAGGTGAAAGGACAAAGAGGCTTCAGGGCTTAGGGAGGTTAGAGGCATTGTGAGGGTTTTGTCACAGGAGGTTTTTGAAGGGTTCCACGTATAACATCCGGAGACAGAGTAGCTAGAATGGAAGCAGGGCCTTTGTCCATTAAAGCCTTGTTCTAATCATCAAGGCCCTTAAAACAACCCTATGAAAGCTCTGTAAGACCCTAGCACCCTGTCAAACCTTGCAAAGCCCCAACAAACGCCATAAAGTCCTAGTCCTAGTCTAAGTGTTAAGGCCCTGCTGAGCCAAGCCCTAAACCCTAGGCCCTAAACATGGGTGTTACATGGAAGGCTATGGCCTTGCTCCCTGTTGTCTCTTCGTGTCTCCGAATGGTGCTCCAGGTGCTCAGCATTCACGCTGCATTGGGGTGCTCCCACTTCAAGACCCAACTCTGCATCGTTTCGGTGTCCATCGTGGAAGCCAGCATTCTGGCGGCAGTTGCGACCATCCACTTCGCGCCTGTCATCTGCTTGGAGCCGGTGGATGGTGCCTGCCTTGCAAGCTTCACAGAGGAGTGCTTCCTTGCAGCGATTGCGTCGTTATTGGGGCTTGCAGTCCTGGGGATGGTCGATTCATGTGCGAGCTTTCGTCAAGGGGTCCCGCTGCAGCCTCCCATGCCGAAGCGCCGCTCCGCTCAACAGATGCTGACAGTGTTCCATTAGAGGACGCAGGGACAGCACCATGGAGCGCGGCCCGGTGTGTGGTAGATGTGAGCAAGAACCCACATGATGAATTTGAGATCCACCGTAGAAGGTTTTACGACGCAGCGGTAAGAACTTACCACAGACGGGCGGGCTGCATTGTTCGTTGTGGCTCCAGCGCCCACAGTGATTGGCTGCGGGTCGAAGTGCTTGCAGTCGAGATGAACTGCGTTCACCTGTGCAGGGCATAGTTGGGCCAGGGCTCTTAGTGTCGTAGGCTGCCCGAGATTCCTGTGCAAGCAGCAGCCCATGTCCGGCTCGGCTGATCAGGGAACGTCTTCTGTAGTAGTAGACTTGAGTGTACGTGCCAAGTTGTGATGTTGCTGAAGCTGCAGGATCCGCTGCAGGGGTTTGAAAGGTGTGGCGGGTAGCGCAACCCTCGTATTGTCTGGGTGCCGTGAACTTCTCCTGGTGTGCTCTGAACCACTTCAGTGGATGTTTAGAAACCCTAAACCCTAAACCCTGAACCCTAAACCCTAAACCCTAAACCCTAAACCCTAAATCCCTAAACCCTAAACCCTAAACCTTAAATCCAAAACCCCTAAACCCCTAAACCCTAAACCCTAAACCCCAAACCCTAAACCCTAAACCATATACCCCTTGTTTCGCACCTCCGAGGCCTGGAGAATTGGCAGCTGGGTCTGATCTCAGTGGGCCCTGGAGACACGGCCTCAGCATCGTGAATTGAGGGTTCAGGGTTTAGGGATGCTGAGGGTTTCGTAGGGTTCCCCATAAGAAGATACCAAAGAGGGTTCTATATAGTACAATAGTCAGTCTACAGCAAGAGTTTACTCCAGGTTTGGCAGGTTGGGTTTAGGGTTTTAGAGTGTTGGAGGGTTCAGGGTTTCGTAGGAAGGTTTAGCAGGGCTTTGTAGGCTTTATGGGTTTTTCGAGTTTAGGGTCTTGGGGAGGATTGGGAAGGGGTGGGGTTACCTATTTTAACTGGAATTTTACAAAGGTTGATGGGGCTCAAGGGATTAGGGCTCGCAAGATTTGGGGTTCAGGTTTTGGAGAAGACGGTTCAGCGTCTAAGTCCTAAACCCTAAACCCTAAACTGTAGACTGCAGGGCTTGGGATTGTGTACGAACTGTCCCTTCGCGCGGCTCCAGAGAGTTCCAAGCGTACCATCCCTTGGTGTTAAGGCTCCGAATCGATCGAAGTTCTTGAACCCTAAACCCTAAACCCTAAAACCCTAAAACCCTAAACCCTAAAACCCTAAACCCTAAACCTTACACCCGGAACGCTTCCCCCGCTTTAAACCTTCAAGCTCAACCCTCAGCCTGTCCCCTAATGCCTAAACTGCTTGCTGTTATGACCTTGAGGACTAAGCCTTACAGCCTGAACCATGAAGGCTTTGTACAGCCTTGAGGTCTTGGATTTCGGGAATGTCTACGTGAAATCTACCGTCGTGAAGTCTTTCTCGGTCTTCAACGATCTTCCGCAGGCGAAGCCCGACACCTCGGGTTTTTTTCGGGATTTTCGAGGGCTCTGCAAGGGTTCTGAGGTGGTTTAGAGGGTTCAAGTTCAATCCTTGAAGGGTTTTAAGGTCTAGGTTTAGGGTTCGTTTCGGGTTTGGACTTTTAAGGTTCCGCGTTTGAGGTTGGGGATTTCAGGCTTAGCGTTCCAGGTTCAAGGTTCAGGGCCGGCTGGGATTTTGGGCTTGGGTTTAGGGATACGTGTCCACTGAATGGTATTCCCTTTCAAAGGCTTCTTTAGAGGCTTTAAGGGCTTCCTGCTCCGGGTGCAGTCTACCTGTCAGTGGAGTAAGCAGCTAGGGCAGCGCCCAAAGCTCCATGGACCGGACACTACGTCAATCGTCCCCTAAACCCTAAACCCTAAACCCCGCAGCCTCATGCTTGTCCCTACGGCAGGCAATCCTGGTGGCCATGCAGTATGACGCCGAAGAGCTTAGCCGTTCCACACCGACATCACAGGCTCGATCGGAATGCTTATTCGGGATTCGGGAGTTGTCGGTGGAAGGCAGCCGTCCATGTTCCGTTCTCGGTGGTCGAAGGGGGTCCTATCAGCCGGATCTTTTTTTTTTTGAAACCGCCTTTGCAGATATTTGCATAGTAATCGTACAACAAAGTATAAGTTGAACAAGCGCTACTGCTACAAAAGGTAAACTACAGGTAAACAATCATGGCAAACGGTGCTTCATGATGGCCATGATGATGATGGTGGTGCATAACACATATGCTGGCAGTGGCATTTGAGGCATGTTAATAGTGAGGCTCGTCTACGTTGATGACTGTACTTTTGGTGGTACGAAAGCTAAACATCATCGGCACCACCGTGTTATACATAGCCTTCACATCCCAGAGAAACCTAATGGCCATGCTGACGAACCGAAGTATCGGCATAGCAGGAAGTGTTGAAATAATTTCTTTGGATTGGTTGTAGTCATCATGATAGCTGTTCTCATAGCCCTAATCATAGTTCTGGTAGAGCGCAAAAGAACCAGCAACTACATAAACAGTATTGCAAAGGATCGCCAAAATCTTATCCAATGAAAGTACGACTCGCTGAAGGCAACTGCAGCCCATGCTGGCGAGTGACAAGACCTTAAACCCTAAACCCCTAAACCCCTGAACCCCTAAACCCCTAAACCCCTAAACCGCTGAACCCTAAACCCTAAACTGCTAAACCCCTAAACCCCTAAACCCTAAGCCCTCAACTGCTAAACCCCTAATTAAACCCCTAAACCCCTCAATCCCTAAACCGTGTCGCAGGTCGTTCCCTCGGCTCATGCGGCCGGCTTCGACGTCTCCGTGTGCTCAGCTGTTCCGCAGACGTTTCAGCGACAGGCCCGCGCGGCTTAGGGTTTTAGGGTGTGCGGTTTGGGGTTTAGGGGTTTAGGGGTTTAGGGGTTTAGGGTTTCGGGTTTAGGGGTTTAGGGTTTAGGGTTCCTGCAGGGTTTCTACACGGGCTCCCGTAGGGGCTATGTAGGCTTCTAGGGCTTTAGAGAGTTGAGAGTTCATGGATAAGGGGTTTCGGGCTTCGAGGTTCCATGTGGACTTCGTGTCGTGTTTGGTGTTCTGACTAGTTCATTGACAAGGGGGGGTGCTGTTGGAGTTTAGGGGTGGAGTTCAGGGTTGGAGGCTTAAGGCTTAAAGGTGCGTAGGATTCCGAGTTTAGGGCGTTGGGTTTAGACATCTCTAGATTGAATTTGGGGTGCGGAGAGGAGACTGACATGCGTGCGTTGCAGCGGCTGGCAGGTAGTGTACACGATCAACGGCATCCATCCGTACAAGCTGCTGATCAAGGCGCGGCAACAACCCTCAAGCGCTGAATGCAAAATCTTAAGCCGAGCTTCGGCATCTGAGTAACGCTGTGATGCCCGCACTTGAAGCGACCGTCCGGATTAGGGTTACGTATGGTATATCAACGTTGCGTTTGATGCGTTTATCGTATGTTACAAGTATATAGCAAATGACGCACCAATGTTTTATATTGTATGGGTCATAGCCTATTCCCTAAAAGCCCTAAAAGCCTTAAAAGTCCTAAAAACCCGAAAAACCCTAAACGTCGGCATGCGCAATGCTGATTCGCTCAGGCAACGATCACGCCTGTCCAGATCAGAATGTCCCGGGCCGACATCAATTTTCGCTTTGGTGAGGACGGGTTGCACAAACTGAACTGTCCCTAAACCCCAAACCCTACACCCTAAACCCTAAATCCACCTTCATGGTTTTGGGGCTAACAGGGGCTAGTAGAGTTTCTCAGAGCTCTGAACTGCTCGGAGGACAGTTTGGACAAGACTCTCACTGAGAAGACGCTTGGCTGTGCTACCCCAGCTCCTCAAGACACGCCCTAAGCTCTGAACCCCCATGCTTTTTGGGGCGTGGAGGTGAGCTCAACTCCGTAATTCCACACCAAGCCCTAAACCCTAAACCCTAAACCCTAAACCCTAAACCCTCACCTCAGAACCTGAAACCCCTCAGCCTTCAGGCCCTGATAGAGGGTTTAGGGTTTAGGGTTCAGGGGCCACGCAAATGCAACCTGATTGAAGATCCCATGAACCAACCTCATAGTCATAGACTAGAGACCCCCATTGAAAAAGCCCTTACGAAGAGACCCCATAAGAAAGCCCTTATATACAATGCCCTACGAAGAGCCCCTCAAAACCTGGACTTCAACTTTTCCGGCACGCCAAGGCTGGTGCTCGACAACCCAGGGAACGCCCCGGCGAAGTTTAGTGTCACGGCTGCGCGTTCTTGTTGATTCATGCTTAGGTCTAGGCGGTTTAGGGTTCAGGAGTTTAGGATTTTTGTTTAGGGCTTTCAAGCTTAAGGGCTGAGGGTGTTTAGGTACAGGAGTTTGGGTTTGGGCTTTAGGGTACTGGGCTTTTCATGGCGCTTTGTTGGAGCAAATTCTCATTCAGACGGGCAGCCGTCAAAGCAAGGTTGCCGCAGAACGGCTCCCATGTCAAGGGAAGTCCGTAGGCCGTAGCCATAGCCAGTATGCTCCCTAAACCCTAAACCCCTAAACCCCTGAACCCTAAACCCCCATAGCCATAGCCAGCATGCTCTCCCAAAGCCCGTGGTGATCCGGTGTACGAGATAGGCCTGCAGATAACCGAGGTAGGGTTGCTAGTGATGGAGACGGTTTTGGGGTTTAGGGTTTAATGACTGCAACGGTGACAGTAGGACTAGTGCAGACAGTCATCACCACGAGCGTACCAAGCATACGGTTAAACATTCTCACCGCCCGTGTCTTAAATCCCCAAGCCTTGAATCCTTACGCCCTGGCCCTTCAACCCTGACCCTAAACACCTAAACCCCAAACCCCTACACCCCTTAAGCCCTGAAGCCTTAAACCCTGAACCCCTAAACCCCTGAACCCCTAAAACCTTCAACCCTAAACCCTCAAACCCTAAACCCCTAAACCCCTCAACCCTAAAACCCTGAACCCAAAGCCCAGAGCAACGGCTGACCGGTGAGGCTGGCAGGGGGCGAACGCTTCCTTCTCGGTCTCCCCGGTGAGTGGCGTCATCCCACGGGGCGGCTCCCAGGGCATTGAGGTGGGGCTTTGGTTTCAGGGTGTAGGGTTTTAGGGCTTAGGGGTTTGGGGGTCTAAGGGTTTAGGGTTTAGGGGTTTAGGGTTTGGGGCTTTAGGGCTTTAGGGTTTAGGGTTTAGGGGTTTAGGGTTGAGGGCTTCAGGTGTTTAGGGGAAACGGGTTTTAGGGTTTCGGGTTTAGGGGTTTAGGGTTTAGGGCTTAGGGTTTAGGGTTTAGGGTTTAGTGTAGGACTTCAGCGTTGATCCAGTAGTTGCCACTATCGTCATTGTCTTCTGCCACTGCTGCGGCTTTGTGAGTGAAACTTTTTGATACGTAGTCCTATAAAACTTGACGAAACTTAGAGGGTTTTATAGGGGTTTAGGGTTTAGGGGTTTCTGGGGGCTTCTAGGGTTTCGGGGTTGCAAAGCATGTGTTAACAGCCCTGAACCTGGGAGCCTGGAGGTGACCTTCACTCCGCCAAACAGCGGTCAGCTGATGGAGGGCTTCCTGACGCTGAAGGCTAAAGATGGGTTTAGGGTTTAGGGTGGACAGGAGGATAAGACCATGATGAGGGGAATGATTACAGCGTTTACAGCTTAATCCCTAAAACCTGAAACCCCCTAAAACCCTAAACCCTAAACCCCTACACTGAGCCCAAAAAGCCTTACAGAGACTATGTGTGTGGTTTCGCAGTTTGGTGGCTCGGAGTTCGGGGCGAGAGCTCTCCTTGGATGCAGGATTTCGGGATCCTTTCGGGAGATCTTCCGGGCGTTGAGATCTTAGGGCATCGGGCTGTTCTTATAGCATGACTTTGCCTTTGCTGTGTATCTTGCGGGCAAGTCAGGCTTAATTAAGGGTGTCGGCCGAGGTTTAGGGTCTTCTTCGGGTTCAGGGGTTCAGGGGTTGAAAGGTGTAGGGTCGTTTCGGTTTCCATAAGTCCCAAACCCAAACCTTAAACCCTAGATGCCTAATCCAACATTCCCTAACCAGTAAACCCTAAACTCCAAACCCTACACCCTAAGCCCTCAACCCTAAATCCCAA